AGGATGTGCTCCACTCTCTCCTACTCCTCCTTCATCTGCTCCCATGTGCTCTAATCAGATATGTCCCTCCCCAGAGCTGCAGATTTAATGCCCTCTTTTGAAATAAATTCTTCTGGGGGGAGGGGCAGGCGTCCAACTCTTTCATTGGGAAGAAGACAGTTCATTTCAGAGGGATTTGTAAATGAAAACCTTATGGGCAGCAGTGGAACACTGTCTGATATAATGCCAAGGTATAGCTGGTCCCTCAGATTGGAAAGTACTCAAAATACCTCTGGAGAAGAACTGCCTCCTCAAAATAGTCACTCCCTGCCACCGAGTCAAATCTGACTCACAGCAACCCTATTGGACAAGGTAGAACTAACAGCATCTTTCTCCTGTCCTCAAAGCAGAGCAACATTAATGACACTGGTATGGAGTAAAACTTACAGGGCATTCCTTTGCTGTTTGCGTACAAGTCAAAATGAGAAGAACTAGCTGCAAACATCCATTAATAATTGAAACAGGGAATGTTCAAAATAGGACTCTAAGAAAATTTGAAGTCATTAAAATGAAGTGAAATGCATAAAGATCAATATCCTAGGCATTGGTGATCTAAAATGGACTTAGACATTTTTAATTGGATAAGCATCTGATTTACTATGCTAAGAATTTCAAATTCATGATGTCACATTCACTGCCCAAAAAAGAAAAGAAAACATAAAGACTGCAAGCTCTACCTTGAAATACAATTCTATTTGTGATAATATCTGTACATCTAAATGGTAGACCAGGCATTATTCAAATGTATGCACCAATCATTAAAGCGAGTGTGGTAGTTACATAATCTGGTGTCAATTTAGGGCTTAAAAGGATTAAGAGTAAAGGGGTAGAGTCTAGTCTGTCAATTGAATCATAGCCAATAAGGCCTCTGCATGGGCATGGCCTTCTCCTGAGAATTCTTGGAATTCCAGTACTTCCTGCTTGGAAGCCTGAGACACTCTTCTCTCTCCGCTCACTGTCTCGGAGACTCTCCACTGACAAAGTTGACTCCCTACGAGACATCCCTGAGGAGAAGCCACATGGACCTACCCTGATGCAGTCAGAACCGGGACCTGGAGAAGCCACGTGGAGACACCTGCCAGCACTGATATGCCTACAATGCCACTGGATCTACAGGACTTCCCACCCACTGGCCTGTGTCATTCGGTGTCATTGCATGTGTTTTGTGAGTCTGAAGAGGACTTTATAGATTAGTGTCAGACATATGGGCTAATATCGGACATATGGACTTGATCTGGACTGGGTTGGGATGCTTTCTTAATGTGCAATTACCCTTTATATAAAACTCTCTCTTATACACATCTGAGTTTCTATGGATTTGTTTCTCTAGTCTACCCAGACTAACACAGCCAGTAATGAAGATTTGACGAAGTTTACCAACTTGTTCAGTGTGAAATTAATTACACATGCAGTCAAGATGCATTGACAAATATTGGCAATTTGAATGGAAGCAAAGAGGACGGATCTGTAGTTGGAAAATATAGCCTTATAGAACAGAAGTTGAATATCATATGATAGGATTGTGCAAGACCAATGATTTCTTCACTGCAAATGCCTTTACTCAACAAAATAAAAAATAACTACACATATGGATCTCACCAGACAGAATACACAAAAATCAAAATGAATACATCTGTAGGAAGAGGTGATGGTTTAATATCATCAGCCAAAACAAGGCAAGAAGCAGAAGGGGTAATAAGCCATTAACTGCTTACATGCACTTTCAGGTTGAAGATGAGAACACTTCAGCAAGTCCGTTAGAGAGGAAGCACAACCCTGAGTAAATACTACCTGAATTTAGAGAGAATGTCAAGTAAAAACTTGACGCACTGGGTCCTACTGACCAAAGATCGGGAGTATTGTGTGATGCTAAGGCGAGAGATGGCATCGAGAATGTACATGAAGAACACAAAAGGTCCAGACAAAAGACACGAAAGAATGAAAAGGCCAAATTAGATGTTAGAAGAGACTCTGAAACTTGCCTTTGAACTTAGAGTTGAAAAGTAAATGGAAGAAACTATGAAAAGTGCTGAACAAAATATTTCAAAAAGCAGCTGGACAAGATAAATTATTATAATTAAATATGCAAGGACCTGGAGTTAGAAAGCCCCAAATGGAAGATGGTTCAGCATATCTCAAGCTAAAAGAACTGATGAAAAAAGTCAAGCCTCAATTTACAATATTGAAGGATGATTCTATGGTCAAAATATTGAATGATGAAGAAGAATATATCAAAAAATGGAAAGAATACAGAGTCAATGTACCAGGAAGAACTGGTCAAAAGTCAGCCACTTTAAGAAGCAGTATATGATCAAGAACTAATGGTATTGAGGGAAAAAGTCAAAGCCACACTGAAAGCACATCACAAGACACGGCTCTAGGAACCGTTGGAATACCAATTGAAACGCTTCCAAAAGTTGAGGCACCACTGGAAGCACTCATGAGGCTGTGCTAAGAAATTCATAAAATAGATACCCGGCCAATCAATTTGAAGTGATCCATATTGTGCCCAGTCAAGAGAAAGGTGAGCCAATATAAAAATTATCAAAATATCATTAATATCACATGCACACAAACTTTACTGAAGATAATCCAAAAATGTTTGCAGTCTTAGTCACAGCCCTAATCTAAGAACAAATAGTTCTTATGACATGGCCCTCGTGGCTCACCCTTAAGAAGACATCACTGAAGATATGGATGCTACCGCAAAGTGTGGTAAAGAAATCAGAATGAGTATGTCTGGGGTCTTAAAGGCTTGTCTTCAAACAAGCAACCATCTAAGGGAGGTATCAGCTACGTCCACACGGAAGAAGCACATCAGCCTATGCAATCCAAGGATTTTAAATAATAAAATCTGAGACCACAGGGGGGAATGGTATAAGAGCTGAAATTATGAGCACTCAGTTTACAGAAGGCTAGAGATGAGAGTAGAAACCCAAAATCCATTAGCTGGGTTCCCATGTGGACTCTAGCCTCTGATGAATTCCCTCTGCCCACAGACCAGGATGTGGATAGCCTTGCTATCAGGCAGAGTGCATCCGGCATTATTGCATGGTTACCTGAGTCTAAAGAGGAATTTATGACGAGTACTGGACATAGGGGCTAATATTGGACTTAGGGACTTGATCTGGACTAGGCTGGGATGTTTGCTTAATATACAATTACTCTTTTATATAAAGCTCTTTCTTGCACACATATGAGTGCCAATGAATTTGTTTCTCTGGTCAACCCAGACTAACACAATCATTTATAAATAATATAGTCTTACATTATAATTTTATACAATTATGGTTATGCTAAAATATTGATTCATATAAAATTAAGTTGTATACACACTGTAAACTTCTTAAAACTCATTTTTTTAAACTCGTTTTATCAACAATTTATCATATTAAAGTCTAAACTCACCAGCGTTTGAATATCACCACCAGGCACAATATTACCAACTGCTCTTAAGGCAGGGGACACCACTTTATAATCATTGTGACTAAAAATAATGAAAATGTGAGTTTACACTCAAACAATTTAAGAATTGACAGGAAACCAGCAAAACTAGTACAGAAAACTCCCTACTCTCTTCACCCATAGACCCTATTCAAGTTTTGCCAACTGTCCAAATGTTTTTATTGTACAAAATATACTCCAAGATTAGGCTTAACCTAACCCAGGTTTCAAGTCTCTCTAAGCTGCCTGCTTCCCTTTCATGAGCCGGACATTGTGAAGAACATTAACCAGTCACTTGGGTTTGTACGGCATTCCCTCAAGATTATGATGCGGGTTATATAGATTTGGCTGGAATATCATGCATACTATATTCTTTTCTTTACATCCTACTGAGTAGCATAGGGTTATGTATTTTATCCCAATATAGTAGTGTTGGCTTTGGCCATTTAATTAAAATGGTATCTGCCATTTAATTAAAATGGTATCTGCCAGGTTTCTTTACTGTAACATTACTGCTTTTCCTTTGTGATTAATTTCATGAGAAGATACTTTGGGATTATGTAAAATAATACTTGGTAAACACTTTTAGGGTTAGTTTTAGCATCTTTTGATTATTAGTAAGCATATTCTATGAATTGTTAGTAAGTACACGGCTGCTAATCAAAAGTGTGGTGGCTCAAACTCACCAGCTGCCCATGACAGAAAAATGTTTCTAGCTGGCCCATGAAATGTACAGCCTTCAGAGCCCTCTGTCCTTGGGTCACTCGGAATGAGAATCAGCTGGATGGTGACGGGTTTGGTTTTATACTCATTGGACAATGATTTTGTAACAACATTATCCTTCTATCTGTCTTCGACGTTGTTCCCTATTTTAGCATGGATTTATGGGTTCCTGTTTTACTCAATGAAGTACACTACATTACCATAACTTATTTTGATACTCAAGTTGACCCAGATTTTGACAGTGGGAGCTCCTTCAAATGAGCTTCAGTGTCCTTTTGACATTTCTTCGTTCAATGGTCACATTTTCCTTTCTTGGTTCATAATATTTTATCTGAACTCTAGCACTGAAATTGGCCTTTCCTCCAAAGGACTTGGTACTTTTCAGTGGAGTTTATTACTTAGAAACAAACTTGGGCATCCAGTGAACTTGGCATGTAACTTTAAGTTGGTCACCCCTCCCAGGTCCTTTCAAAGGGTGTACATACAAGGAAAGTAAAAAAGTATTGCTATATGGTTTTAGTTCACATAGGCAGACTTATTCCAAATAAAACATGTTTAAGCATGTCTCTGAGATCAGTAGATGTCTGAGGCAAGTTGTCTTCAGTAATACATTTGTCTTAGTCCCATTAGGATGCTTTTTTAAAAGGACCAATCAAAACAGTGGTTTCCAAGGGAATCTACTGGGCCAGTTAAACTCCAGGCAGTGAGGTCAGTTTGGAAAGTCATGGCAACTATTTTTTAGAATCCCAAAGGAGAATTCTTGAAAGATTTCATCAAAGGGCACATGACCATCATAGGGCTTATTATAAAAAAGCTTAAGAGAATTGAACATGTGTTGGGGAGAAAAAGGTCCGTGAAGTTGTGCAAGGGAGTTTTTAATCTTTCCACGACAACAATGCACTTGCTTGGTCTTCGAGGGCAGGAAAGGCTGGCCTCTGAGGAGGCTGTAAGGAAGCCTCACTCCAACAGCTCTGAGCTCTCCTTTCAGATTTTTCCCCAAACCCCAAAGAACATTTAAAAGGAGCAGGCTTCCAGTATCCCACGGGCCTGCCATTTTTTGGTGGTGGATATTAAAAAGTAGAATTCTTTGGGGAAAGGTTAGCGAGAGAGAAACAATGCCTTTGGAAGTGCACAGACCTAGATGAAGAATGTATTGAGAAACAATACCTTCACATTTTGATATTCTAAATAAAGGTTTCTATTACTTTGTAGCAATACTTTTTGACTGATCCCTATACATATAAACATGCATATCCACACATCTATTTCTGCATTGGGCTCTTTATGTTAAAAGCCATTATTAGCATTGATACCTCCAATCATAATCTTACACAACACAATTACTCTGGCTTTCCTCGTTTCCACATTTATATCTGGAGAAAGAAACAGGGCTGCCATTTTCATAATCCACAATTTGTTCAACATCCTGACCCAGACAGATTGCTCCTATCACTTGCTACCTCCAACTCCCAGCAATACCTTGCTTGTCTACTGCCCTGGCAGGGTCCCTTCGCATGTTTCCTGATCCCCCGACTAGACCTAATTTCCCATCCTCATCAACTACTGTCCTCACAGTTGGACCTTAGCCATTTATTAAGACTTTCTCCCTAATTCACTCATATCATCTGGACCTACATAATTTTATTTATTTTTTTTTGTGGATAAAAAATGAAGCCAACCAAAAATATTTTTTTAAAGAAAGAGGACAAAAATGTTGTATCTTCTTAAACAAGTTCTTAACTTCTTTGTATAGAAAAGTCTTTCTTTTTATAAAAGCAATAATAGTCCAGCAAAAGAAAAAATTATTTTTGTGAAATAAACAATTTTCACTAGATGAACTTTTATATAAATAGAGGCAAATAACTAACTAGATCATAAGTCCTGTGAGAGCAGACCCTATATTCTATACTTCATTAACAATATCTTACATAGTATCTAAGTAGGTAATAGGCATCCAAAAACCACTTGTTGAATTATGCCCTTCTAATTAAAAAAAATTGTATAAGACTGACTAGATTCATTAATAAAATGATTAGCACGAATAAGAATTAACCATATGGAATGCAGTATAGGATAGAATTACAAGATTAAGAGTCATCTCAAGATAACAGCTATTCTGTGCAGGAGTCCTGCTGGTGTGGTCAGGTAAGCATTAGACTCTAATCTCAAGGTCAGTAACTCAAATATTCCAGCTGCTTTGAGGAAGAAAGATCAGGTTCTGTTCCCATAAAAAAATTAAACCTTCAGTAACTATATAGACTTCAGGGGTCCTCAAACTTTTTAAAGAGGGGGCCAGTTCACTGTCCCTCAGACCCGTTGGAGGGTCAGAATATAGTTTTTTAAAAAATTATGAAAAATTCCTATGCACACTGCACATATCTTATTTTGAAGTAAAAAAACAAAACGGGACAAAAACACCCGGCGGGCTGAATAAATGTCCTTGGTGGGCCACATGTGGCCTGCGGGCAGTAATTTGAGAACCCCTGATGGGTCAGTATCATCAGAACTGACTCCTGAGATGCTTATGAGGCCACTATTCTATCTGTTACATTTAATACACAATCATACACTTATTAAGAATAAATTATAGTTACATCAAAAGTTCCACCAATCTTCCACAGACTCCAGAGTCAATAACTGCTTGAATTTTATCATTGGTTCCATCGGAGAGAGAAGAAAGAGGCCAACACACACCGGCTAAGACATCTGAATCACTGCTAAACAACAATCGTGACAGGACATTTAAGCAAGAGGAAACCTGGAAGGGAAGAAAGAAGCATTCATTTAAATTTTTCTCTTTCTGAACACACATTTCCTTAGTAAAATATAAAAATTCATTTATAACTAAAATTTAATGACAGAAAAATACCAGAGAAGTAAATGATTTTCAAATTATGATTCCATTTGTGAACATGAAACATAACTCCTATTAAACTTATCTTGATAGGAACTGGAAACACAGGGAATCCAGGGTGGATGATCCCTTCAGGACCAGTGATGAGAGTGGCGATACTGGGAGGGTAGAGGGAGAGTGGGTTGGAAAGGGGGAACCGATTACAAGGATCTATGTGTGACCTCATCCCTGGGGGGAAAACAGAGAAGTGGGTGAAGGGAGACATCGGACAGGGCAAGATATGACAATAATTTATAAATTATCGAGGGCTCACGAGGAAGGGGGGAGTGGGGAGGGAGGGGAAAAAATCAAGACCTGATGCCGGGGGCTTGGGTGGAGAGCAAATGTTTTGAGAATGATGAGGGCAATGAATGTACAGATGAGCTTTACACAGTAGATGTATATATGGATTGTGATGAGTCGTATGAGCCCCCAATAAAATGATTAAAAAAACTTATCTTGAATAAGAAATACTCATGTGGTAATTTAAAGCTTTTTTTTTAAGTAATGAAGTGTGTCTTAGGACCCTGTGTCTAGGTCTGTATTGCACACCCACACATACATGCACTCTCATACTCACACACAAAAAGGCACATTACAGCTGGAAGAAGTCAGAGTGTTTCTGTATTAAATCTTTAATACAGTGATCATTGAATATGGTCTAACTTAAATCATTCTTATTTTGCTTGTTGGTGTTAGGTGCCCCCAAGTTCGGGTAACTCCTAGTGATCCTGTGTACAACAGAATAAAGCCCTCACTACCTGGTTTTATCCTGCGCCATCCTCATAATTGTGGCTCTGTTTGAGCTCAGTGTAGAAGCCACTCTGCCAGCCATCCTACTGAGGGACGTCCGCTTTTTCACTGAGCCTCTAAGTGACCAAGCATGAGGTCCTTCTCCAGGTGTGATCCCTCCTGATAACACATCCAAAGTGTGTGAGACAAAGGCTTATCATCCTCCTTTCTATGAAGCATTTAGGATCTACATAAATCATTGGTAGAATAAAAATATAGAAACTATAAAAATACATTGCTGAAGGATCATGAAATTCAGCTAATGGAAGTTACTAAAACTATACTTAGATGATAAAGCCCTAAAACTTCAGTTAAAAAAGAAACACCAAAACCAAAAAAAGAAACAGCATGCGGCAACAAAGATTTTTAAACTCTTTGGCAATAAGACTTTAATTAGTTGTGAGGATAAGTGAGTCACTTCATCTCTTTAAGACTCAAAAAGGTTGAATTAGATAAATTCTATGACTCTTCCAGCCTTCAATTCAGGCAGACTGAGGCTCAAACACTACTTTTTATCTGTGATCTTAGGCAAATTATCTTTCATCTCTAAATTCTAATTTTTTCATTTGTAAAACAAGGGCAACACAATATTGTTATATAATAAAAGTACATCTTAGACTCACTGCCTACCATATAGTAAGCACTCACCTGTTGGTTCTTCAGTGTCATGGTCAATTTTGAGTCTCTATTCCTTAGCTTAAAAATAAAAAATCAGTACCCTAACATATTCCTTAGCATCTCTCCCCAGATAACAGCTATAAACGTTAAATAAGCATACATAAAAAGTCTTAATGACTTATGTTCTGGTGTTTTGAGATGGGTTTTCACTGAAAACACCTCACTTCTTTGCTGATCTTTCTTTTCAGGATGACTGGAGTCCGGGGACAGAAACCAACTTAAAAAATAGCTAAGTCCATCTCTATGTTCCACATATAATTTACTCCAGCGGGGTCTCTGTCTAACATGCTTCTACCTTTGCTGCCACCTCTTTATTGAGGAGAGAAATATTCAAATTTGTTTTTAAAGTAAATACAAATCTCTGAGTCATACAATCAGTATAAAATATGTCACTGAGTCCCCAAACAATAAAGTACTATTGATTGCTGGTTTTAATAGAACAAAGTAAAAGCATGTTTGCCCCAAGCTACTTCTCAGAAACAAAGGAAAGAGGAAACAAATGGCATTTCATCTTTGAAAATGAATGAAGGAATGGTTACTGGGGGAGAGAAGTGTTACGGAGTCGTGCCCAACAAGAACCACTGACCACAAACCTGTAAAAGCTAAGAGTAAGTTTATTAGAGAAAAGACAAAGGTTAGAGAAGAGCAAATTTAACAGGTAAAAGAGAAAGACAGAAACAGACAAGTTCGAACTCGGACTACAGCCTGACCACGCAGGGTCC